CAGGGGGGTTGGAGTAGATGACCCACAGAGGTCCCTTCCAACCCCTACTATTCTGTGATTCTGTGATTCTGTGATTTCTTCCTGGGTCAGCAGCTATCAACTTCAGTTTCATTACATCTTTGTAATATCATAGCAATAACTTTGCATCACAAAACATTTAAGAGGCAGGCTACGACAAGGCAATAAAGACCCAATTGTGACGTTTAACTAGATGAATTTTATTCACTGCCACATGCACCCTGTGTCAAGCAAACTGAAAGAAATGCTTCCTTCTATTGTGTGACTCAGACACAGATATTTTCTTTTTTTGCTTTGAAACATTCCTTCTTTTGGGGAGGAAGTACTCTCTCCTAATGAATTAGTTCTTTTGCTTTATCTAAATCAATGTCTTTATTTTTTTATGAAGCAGGCCTGCAATGTATTTCATGTTTGATTTCCACATAGTTATTAATAAGCCTACAAGAACTGACCAACGTCCTCTAATTTCGTTTTCCCCATCTGAAAATAAGTATGTGGTGATTTGGGGTCTGAAATCTGTCACGAAGTACCTGACACTTGGTAGAAAATTTAAAGTAATAATGATTTCGCTGACTATTGCTTCAAGTGCTAAGGGACTTGACCAGTCCAGTGTTTTCTGTGATCCAGGCTGTTTCATGGTTCCTGGTCTGGTAAAGCCTAACATGGTACACTTACAGGCCCTGGAGATTCACTATGTACACTTACCAAAGGATGCAGCTGCACTACGTGTCAGTAGTGAGGCTGAAAGCATTTCCTAAACAGACACACAGATACAAGCACACACAAGCAAGCACTGCACAGTCCAACACAGGTAAAGCAGAACCTTTACCAGCACCTCCCTAAACACCAACCCTACTGACATAAACAAGAATATGCGTAACCTTTATGTTGGCTTAGTCCCTTTCAACACATGCAGACTAGAGTGAGACCCACATAAATTGTATAAGAAGATTTAGAAAGAGTAGGTCAGATGTACCTTAAGAAAAAGCAGCATATTGCTGTTGTCATTCAACCATGCCTATGACCCCATGTAACCTTTCAGGAAAGGAGGAATGACTCTTCCCTTGCTTTGAAACAAAATAAATGAATAATTACGGTAGACTTTCTTCTTCCTCCTCAATTTGAGAATTGCTCTTGTGCAACTCCTGAGTTAATGGCCTCCTGCTGTATGTCATCTTATTACCTACTCTGCAGCTGTTAAAAGTATCTTCTCCATTTAGATTGCAGCCTCTTGCCACTTCAAGAATAGGTATTTATTTTCTCTGAGGAATAATTTAGTTTTTAAACCTGTGTTTGAAGGAGAAAAAGAAAAAAGGGTTAAACTTTATCCAAAGGGCTTCTTTCAGAAATAAAAAAGTGTTGAATACAAGTTTAAAGGTGGAGGAATCTGCTCTTTAACTGCTCTTCAAGATTCTAGTCCAGGTAAGATTTATTCCAAAAATTCATGCCATGACTTTGCAACTTGCTCCCCTCAGCAAGACATACATCTACCTACTGCTTCCCCCACACTCACATACAGTAGTTTCATGTTTGCACATGCTGAAGACCCTCCCCTCCCTGCTGTGACTTCCAGAAATGAAGTTTTTCAGGCACAGGATTCTTACTGATCATGAAATGGGGGAAAAATTTATCTAATATTGTAACATTAAAAAAAAATCCAGCTGTAATGAATTAGTCTGATTTACATGCAAATATATTTTTTAAAAAACATTTCTTACATTGCAACTGCAGAGTGGTACAAAAAAAAACAGAAACACACAGCAGGTTCAATAACAATGTCAGTATCTGCAAGCCTATGAGAAGGTAGATGAGTCTTGAATTCGGAAGTCACGGAACGGCTGATGCCTCATGAGGATGCCATTGCTGACACCAGCCAACAGCTCCAAGATGCTTAGCACAGTACAGCACCAAAACACATAGAGATTGACAAAATGCAACTGGTCTTCCAACTTCCTTAGACAGCCTTCCTGAAAAAGTTGCTCCATATGGCTTATGTCACCTCCACAATGAGAATACTTCTCCTTACAGCAGCTTTCAGGGACACGAGATTTTTCAGCTGAAAGATGCCAAGCAGCAGCTGTTGCCTTTAGCCAGTCTGTATAGTTTTGGACCCCACAACACTGCAGCTTCCTCTGTACCTCATCCACAGCACTGCCACCAGGACCTTGGGAGTGTGCCCCATTGTACTGATAGACAAGGTAATCCATAGCGCCTTCCAGCTCAGAAGCCATCTGAACAGAGTAGAACTGAGCCAGAACTGCCGAAGACACTTGTAGGCAAAGAAGGACCAGCAGCAAGTACATGAGAGCTCCTTGCTGATGGCGGGAACACTTCACAGAAATGGAGATAGCCAAAACTCCAGTAGGCAGCAAGATGAGTGCAGCTGCAACAGCCAGCCAGCCAGGAAGAGACAAGAAAGACTCCTGAAAAAAATATCTGTAGTTCTTGCACATCAGGATCACAAAAACTCCACCAAAGGCCAGAACTACAGCAGTGCCCCAGAAGATGAAGCCTAGGAACCTCAGCAAAGCTCTAGCAAAGAGCCTGAGCCAGGATTCCTCGTAGGGCAACAAAGAGAATGAGGACACCACCACCACCACTACAGCTGTAAGTCTCCTCATTTTGCTTTCCCCTAAAAGTTCAAACCCTCACCACCACCATTTAAGAAGCCTCCACCCCACTTAACCAGGTGCAGCAGATGACACCTCCACCCAAAATTAATTTGCAAGGGAGCAACACTGATGAGACTCCCTCAACACAAGGACTAGGCCCTGCACCAGCTAATCACGTGCTGCTGCTTGTTCAGCGTAGCCTGCAGAAAACAGGAGTTCACATGCCAGTCTTGCTGTGGAGAGGTCATTTACCCTGCTGTCATTGGAGACAGTTGCATTTGAAGGAGAAGGACAGCTGAAAAAAGGCTGCATCTCTTGCTTTACTACGTGCCTGTGTTAAAGAGTTAAACGTAGCGAAATATTCAAGGTGGCAGCCAGCAGTGCTAGTTCAGTTCACTTGGACTGCCCAGGTGAAACAGATAATCCAGCTGTCAATCATACAGAAGTAGCCCAGACGGCAACAAATGCACAAGGCAGTGTCATTAACAAAGGAACAGTGTGAGCAGAGCTATTCAGTCAGGGATCTCCACAGGTAGCACTCAGCTAGACTCACTATCCTTCCCAGTACGTTTGCAACTCATTAGATTTGATTAGGGGTGTAATTATATTAATAATTTTTTGACCTTTTTTACTCTGCAAGATTTCTGTGCAGAAGGCTTCAATTACTCAAGACAGCTGTGAAATCCCTACCACTTCACACTTCTACCCCTCAGTTGGCATCACCAATGATTTGACTGAGTGCTTTGATGACTGAATACAAACAACAGTAAGAACTGCGCTGACTTCTCCTTGCGTGTAAAGAAACTGAATTACACAACACCTAAATGACTTCATGTTCTGGTTTCGGCTGCCACCGGCAACAAAATCGTCATGCAGCCGCCCCTCCCCCCGCCGGGGTGCGGAGGAGAATGGAAAGAAAACAGGCAGAAACCGGTGGGTCGGGATAAAGGAAGTTTAACAGAACAGCAAACAAAAGGAACAGGAACAACAACGATACAGAAAAAAAGGAGAATATACAAAACAAACCCGCAGAACAGAATCCTGGATTCTGCTGAAAATTAACCCTGTCCTGGCCAAACCCAGGACATTATCCACCCCTTATTCCATACAATATACATCGTGCCCAGGTCCCATATTGTCCAGTTGATCACCACCGCTTCTTCTGTCTCCAGATATCATTCCCTTAGTCTATGGATCATCCCTCTAAAGTGTCCGTTGAGTTCACTTAATCCATGACTTTGGGCTCCATCTGTCGTAATGGTCTTCCGTTGCAGGAGAGGAGATGTGCGGTGATGGGCGCTAACTTGCTGCATCCGGAGCTCATGGCTGATGTCTCTGGTGCGCCCTGTGCCCACAGTCTGCAGGAGATGTTGATCTTGACAAAGTTGCTGGGTGCCAGTTGTTGAAAACCAGGTCCAGTTCCATCATCACTGTGCCCTGCTAGGTTTCATCAAAAAGTCCATCCTTCTTCATTCTGGACGATTCTTACTATGCTACTACTGGTATAACATATAACAATTATAACAGTGATAA